GCTGTAAACTTGATTCAACTAGCTGAGTACAGATTCCACTGGCGGGCTTCTTTCAAACCGGTAATAAATCTCAGAGTTCCATAATAGGTGGTGAATATCTTGGTCATCTGACCGACAAGCAGCTTCTCAGGAAGGCCTCCTGTCATGGATTCGTTATTATTACTCATGAATTAATCTGTCATTCGCTTTATTAGGCATCCATTTGTAATTATCCGAGGGAGTGGAAAAATAAATCTAGATGATGGTGGATTTTTAATTAGGTACTCCTTTCAGTCGGTGAGCTTTAATTTGGCTTGAATACGTTTGTATGTGGGTAAATACACTCTCTTCTGTGTCATTTAACAAACTGATTTAGAGCGGTCAGAGGGAGACTGAGGCTGGGTGAGACTATACAAATGGCACGAGGAATAACTGTTGGCCTACCGCAGGTCATACATTCCACTCGCTTTTGGTCTGGTCAGCAGACTGCGGTCTCAGGAGCGCTCCACCCGTTAGTCCTCGCTTTCTGAGCAGACAGAGAGCGGCAATCGAATCATCCATGTTCGGATTCCCAACCAAAAGTTTATGGTCATTTCTTATTTCCAGGGTGTTTGCGTTTGGAATTAAAAGCAAAACACGTCCTTGCGTCTAAGCACCTCCCCCATGAAAAGAATCGAAGCTTCAAGCATTCTACAACCATGAAAATAAACGGTCATCATGTGGCACCATCTGCACACAGCAATGAGAACAAAAAATGCTAACACCCATGGCGAGTCAAACTTGTTCGTCACCTTAATGGCTGGTCTATCAGGTCTTGCTCTGTGACTTAAGATTAGGGAAGACACTCTCAGAGCTTAATTTATCATGTTCACAGCCGTGCAACCCATTTCTTCGCTCTCTGTAATAAAACTACTGGTACAGTCTGTGCCCGGCAGTTTACACTACAAAAGATGTCATGCGATCTATAAGAGAGGTCTAAACGTTAACGCGCCTCTATACCCACAAACACCCACAAATAGAAGCTGACATTTTCCGGTCCCTCTGCATATAACAGTCCAACTTCGGCTGTCGCGTTACCTAGCAACTTAAATCTTCGAAGCACCTGAGAAAACAACGCTAGCATCCAAAATATCATAGAGCGCAATCTGTAAGTTTGAAGCCGATACTCGAAAATTAATTAAGTTGGTCGCAATCAGATCTTTAGACTTGTCGGCAATCCTCAAAATTCCCTACCGGTTGACAAACACCGACAAATGGTAACCTCTTTCAATTCTAATTTATTCCATAGTTCGTCTATTATGTAAGCTAAAAGTTTATGATGAAAGTGTGACAGAGTCTATAAAACCTACACACTGATTTTTGTAGGATTTGATGTTTCCACGACGGTGAATCTGAAGATTGTTGTCTTCACACTGATGTTTTATACCACATTATATGAAATATTCTGAAAGATTTTGTAACCCCGTTCCTTTAGACGTGGCTTTTTAATATGTTGTATATTTACATAGAACGAGAAGTATGGAACGGAACTGAATTCTTCCGAGGATATTAAAAACATACATGCAACATTCTTAAGAAACTCATGCAACTGAAATACGTAAAGAGTGCCCCATCCACCTCTGCCATTCGCCTGATTTTACATGCGGTAGGGTTCATATTCAGACTCAAAATTACAGTAGCAGAAAGGGTTACGAAAGTCACTGCCTGGCAGGGCGGAATGTGAGCAAGAAACTCGCTGTACCTTCAGCGGCAATATATTAACTTATATTTGGCAAGGATCCTGTTCGAGCCCGGCTATCCCGAAGTATAAGCCTATTTTCGTAGTCTTTATCTGTGCCTACTGAGAAATGAAAGAAACATAAAAGAATGCAGACTTACAGATCTTGAAGCAGGTGGGTCAAATATGTACCACTGGGCTTTAAAGTTTAAATTAAGTATTATCCAAGCAGTACTATCTCAAAAATTATCTTAGACAAAGGATATAAGTGAAAGCAGTAATTTTAGAATATGATCGTCAAAAAACCATCCAACATCCACCTATAATATGCACAGATATATTAAACAACATGTACTTGTATAGCAACACTTAAAATTATTATCGTAACTAGACGGCCAAGAAATTATCCACGTTCTTATAACCCGAAATTCTATCCTGAGCCACATTAATCCAGTTTACACCCTCGCACCATATTAAAAAAGACCTATATTAATAATCTGGCCCCAGATATTCCTTTAGGTTTATAGGCTAAATCTTGTGTCCCTGTAAACGCTACACGACCCGAAGACCTCATTAGCAACAATAGGTAACATGCTAATTTCTTATGATGGGCGTTGCTCCCGATGTAATTTATAATTCGAAAAAGAAATGCTTAAGTTGTTCTTGCAGTTAATTGCTTGTAGACTCACACTCCGTTTCTTCAGTGCCCAAAGTAAGACAATTAATTCTGAGCGAGATGAAATAATTTATGTGCCTCCATTTGCTTCTTACGAACAGGAAATTAGCCTCATACCGCTGCTACAGTAGCACCAAGCTGTCTGAGAACAGTAGCTTCACCCCGATTCGTAACTGTACACACATAGCACCACTTCGGTCCGTTTCGCTCAAATATAACCCTACATGGATCTCAAATAAAAATTCAGTTTTTTCCCATAATCCTGTAGGTTACATAAAATGAAATGAGGCCTAACAGAGTTTAAAACTTTTATATGGAATGAAGAGAGCTGTCTTCTGGGTTGTTGTGCTATGTAGTCTGATAGAACTTTATCTACATTTCAGAGGTCTTTGCTGCCTCCATCATCAGGGCGATGAGGCATAAAAGACCTCTGAAACGTTGGTATATTTCTATCGACTACATGGCGTTTCAACCCAGAAGACAGCCATTTTCGGACTCACCGCCGAGAGAACCTCAAATCCCACTTTATAAAAAAAAAAATTTACGATGTGACATACATTTAACGAAGTACTAAGACGATTCTTACTGATTGCTCAGTACGGTACCTATAATGCGACTGCCGATTCACAATACGTTTTAATCCTCAATAAAACAATATCAAAATAAATTTAGCATACAGAAATACAAAAAGGGCATTGGTGACGAAAATAACAGCCCAGCCCTGGCTCTGCTGACGTCGACCTATAATCTCGTCCTCAGGTTTCCGCTTCAGGAATTCAATGTAAAACTTCGGCTTGCATGGATATAATTATTCAACGTTTCGACAAACACTACAGTAGTAATCTTCAGGGTATAATGTAATGGCTGGGCATTTTTGAAGCCTTATACAGGACAGGCAGTCGGTGGCGAGTGGAGTTTGAAAATACCGACTGGTGAAGCGAAAGAGCGGCTGTTTCCTTAAAAACTATAGAACAGGGCCTAATTATCATCATCGGCTGTTTCATCACTGCTACATACCAATAATTTTTTATGAAATATCAGTAGTGCTGTTACATCTCCTCGCACGAACGGCGCTGAAGAAGAGGAAATGCAAATCGAATAATGATTTTCCTTGCTTCGAACTTTCCGCTGTGCGATAAGTTGAAAGAAACGAAAAGAGACGTTTCCTTGCACATATCTGATTTACTTCTTGTTCTCGGGTTCGGTGCGGCCCTGCTCTGCAGTTCTTACGCAAGTCGCTGTTCAGAACCACCCCTGGATAAATTGTGACGTGCTGGCGCCACAGTAGCAGCAGTGTTCGCCTAAGAGTGCCTGGCACCCAGTCGGTAATGACTTCGATTCTCGTTCGTAGTACGTCAGACTCAGCCCACAGTCTGCAAGAGGATGTTACAGTCCCGATTCGTGCTACTAGAAGCTGTGTAATGGTGCAAAAATCCCAACACAGGACTCCTACGCCCTATACAAATGGCAAAAGCAATGTCCCAATATGTTCTAAATGGAAGACAAAACATAGGCGGACCCAGAAACTATTGTAGTATCGCATAAACCTCGGATAAGGTGCCGAAGGAACCGATTTTAGCTCGCCTTCAGATACGTAAAACAAATAGTAGTGGTCTATTATGTGACGGCCGACTGCACAGGAACGGAAACATCCAGAAACATTACTGATCTTACGGATTATGTGGGCTTACTGCCGGACTAGCTGTATGGAGCAGAGTGTTTGTTCAGAAGTTAATATTCGCTTACTTACACAAACGTTTCAAACCATTCATAGAAACTATTCAGGTCACAAGACCTCACCAGTGTATTGTATCCTCGCCAGCTTTAATGGAATCCATACCCCATTATTACAAATCTATTTTAATATTATCCTCCACATTCACCTAGTTCCAATAAGTGGTGTCTTGCTTTCAGATTTTCTGACAAATTCTTTTCGGATTTCACATGTCCCCGTGTATGCTACATGTTCCGCCCATCCCATCTTCCGTTTAATAGCCCTAATAATACCTTATTTGTTGAAGAGTACAAATATGAAACTTAGAAAAGAAGAGAAACGACTGATTATATTTGACAGAAGCACCATATTTTACGTAAAACGTAATATACGTCACTCACATTCGGAGTTTGAGTTAATGCTTATCGCCGCGTATGTCGAAAAAGCGTAAAACGGGGGACGCACAACATGGCCGTGTATTTTGTTAGTAATACAACATAAGACGCCTTTATCTGTAGTCCCCGGAATCAAAACAGTGGGCAAATCAGCAAAAAATGCAAGCAAAACTGAACAGGCCTGAATAGCGAGAGCCATGACACTGAAACAAAACGCGAATAGCAAAAGCGCGTATAACGACAGTCACCAGTACTGAATATCTCGTGTCCGAAGGAGGTAAGATCTAACTAGGTAAAACCTGAATGTGGCCGAAGACCTGGAAATACAAACGCTTGAAGGAAATATTTTGACGCAGGAAGCAATGCTGAAGTATGGGGAGTTTAAATAAACCTTATGAGCATGAAATTGTAAGAAAACATTGAACGTCTCAGTGTAGTAGATAGTATGCAGTGTTTCAATTTCGAAAATCATGAGTTCGATTCTCGCCTGCCCTGTGATTCCCGTGGTTTTACTCCTACCTTGTGCAGGTACATCTGACTGCTCGTGTGCCAACATGACGGCGAGATTCATCTCGCATTCCTCGCGACTCGCGAAGCTGAACGGTGACTCCCCGGGACATACCGGAGCTTCGGAACATTTGCAGTGATGCCCCACCATATTGCAACCCAGCATCCAGACCGGGTCCGGGCACAGAACCTCGCTGCCTGGAATTCCTGTAAACAGATTTCATACTTTGCTCAGTACATCTAACCAGCAACATAATCTCACCATTTGATAAAACATTCTACATAATGTAATGACAAAGTTGTATATCATGTTATCGTCTCCACAACCTATCAACTGCCCAAAAAACATGTATACACACAACCATTATATACGTTAGCATTGTGTACACATATTTTTTGGGACACTGTATTTTATATGTTCATACAAATGTACATATAAGTATGGATCCACGTGTAGGTTAGCAACTGTCAACATGATATTCTAACTATTGTACTATGCCTTTTGATGTTTAAGAAATGACCCAGACAACTACCTTGCAAGGTAGAAACATGTAGAAACATATAATAAAATAAAAGATTTTGTAGACGGCAACATTATGTACAATTGTGAATTTATTACACAAGAGGATACAAACCTGGAAATTATTATAATGTAATAAAAGTGCTCAATAGACAACCTCCAAAACTAGTCAAGTTCAGTTTATGCCACAGTAACCAGGGACACAAATCAATAGGCTGATAAGTTCTGGGCTCAATTATACAGGAACAGACTCCCGTAAATTTTAAACGAGCCCAGAATTTTTAACAGCAGGCTTAAACAACTATGTCCCTTCACACAAACACGCACGCGAATACAAATACACACATTTTGTTATTGTGAATCCCAGAAGATACCACAGAATACAAACAAAAATTAAAGAGCTACTACTTTTACGTGCCCGCTGGGAAATTTGGTTGAGACAACAGAAAAAATATAGATAAGTAAGAAGAAACTGCGTTTTAAAGCAGACACAGTGCGCCATCCTTCTCCTTACCATGATTTTCTTCAGACATAAAACACACTCACAATTCTCGACACCACCACGTGAAAACCAGTGACCACGATCGAAAAGCCAAAGCATATATTTTCTTAAATAATGCTTTATAAACTTTACAAATCACACCAGCGCCAGATTAAATAGCGGAATGATTATGAATGATAAATTAAAAACAAAAAAGGTTATGACCGTGACGTTTTTTAACATATTGTCCTCAATCTGTTTAACTCCCTGAAGGGACAAGCGAAAATGAGAAACGTCAGTCATGATAACAGGTCTGTATGCCGAGATTCGAACTCAGGGTATATCCGTGCGTGCTACCCAGTGCGACCCTCTCAACCCAAACTGCTTTCTCAATTACCGTTCTGTCTTGTCTTTTATACACTGGAAATAATACCAAACTCCGCTTTCCTACCGATGAGCCAGATGTGAATTAGATGAAAAAACAAACTAAGATAAAAAACACAAAAGAATGAAGAAACACGTTTATTTTTCTTTCGGTGATTCGCCACTTTTCCCGCAATCACACTTTTTCAGAAATTAGATTCTCCCAACTCGCTGCCTCTTCTCTCTGAGATAACGCAGACAATGCCCTCTAGCTGGAAATAATGGAGCCGTGATTTTCTTCCAGCTTAGGGCTAGCTCAAATCTGATTTACCTCTTCTTCTTTACCGCGAGATGTCACTTTAAATGGTAATGTGACAGAAACAGACCCTATGGGCAAGTGCCAAACGCGTGTAACTAGAGCGGCTTGGCTTGTCCAGCCCGTAGAATTCAATATTGTAAAAGTGATTACATTTCAGAACAAGTGGACGAGGGGTTGCCATGAATTCGATCAGAAGATTCATCTCAAAGGGGAGAAACAAACAAAGATCTGTTGAAAGGCTCTGTTAGATCTTTACAGCACAGAGGTAAACTACATGTTGCCTGTCACCTGCCTTAACGTTCAGTTACTTTCCATTTCAACCACAGAGCGTATTTATATGTTCCCACAATAAAGAGTGATTGTTTTCTGAAACGTTAACTAACTTCTCTTTGTAAAGTAAATGAGATGTTATATATGAAACTGTTCTTTTGGACTCTGACAATGGTATAAATTATAAAATTACAAAGTTTTGAAAGTTGGACTCTACTTTCGTCAGGTAAAACCTATCACACGTGAGGCTAGCTCAACTAGAGGGACCAACAGATACGTTTTCTATCCTCTTCCATTTTTATCTGATGATAAAAGCAGTGTCCAGCTTGTCCAGAGTTGAAATTTTATAATTTAGTCGAATGACAAAGTTCAAAAGAACAATTTACACATTATAACACATCATTGCCAGAACCTTCAAAGTTCAAATAGATTACATGTTTTCAGCGAGATACGAACAGAATTAACACAAGATATTTAGATGAGTTTCACGCTTCAAACGGGTTAACTACTTTTATTAACGCAGATATCGGCAGAAAAACATTGACCGGGATGAAAACCTGCTACGTATGTAGAATTATGTAGACTTCACCGAGCCGACTGTGATGGCGGGCACAAAATTCACACACAGTAATTAAATTATCCGAACTGACGCGTCTAATTAAGCTAGTATATAAGGATCCGTGTCATCTTACATAGACGCTGTCCTAGTTCAATATTCGTTCCAGGTGTAACTTGTTCTACGCCTAATCTGCTATGTGTAACGTTAGTCCGTTAGGTAGACCGCACACCGGCATGCGTCAAGACATGTAACAGTCAAGACACGATGTCTGCGACATGACGCAAAGAAAGGAGCACAGTTGAAACGAATGAGAGTATGAAAACCGCCGCACACCGGTCTGAGTCATGATGCTGACGTCAGCTTCATGCTGCAGACACGTGCAGCAAGACTCGGCATGTTCCTTTTCTGTGCGTCAGGACTGAGACATCAGTACTCAAGTAACAGTACCAGTGTACATTATCGACTTGAGTGAAGAGTAAACAAATATTAAGATAGTGCAGACTGTTGAGAAATTCCCGGTAATATACGATTATTCGTCCCCGGGCCACTCAAACAAGGAGAAGGTTGATAAAGCTTGGCATGCAGTTTCAAAAGAAGTAAACATAGATGGTAAGTGCACTGATTAATTTTATTTTAATGAGCTAATTACTGAATTAACTATTATACACATTGATCATAAGCTCATTTCGTACAAGTTTGCTCTCACTCACACATAAAACTGGACGACGTCATGTCATCAACTAGAGAAGATGTGATAAGACGCAGACACGTGCTACTTCGGTGTGCGGACTCGAGTCTGAATCACGAATGAAGCAAGACTGCGTCTTTTGTCTCATGTCTTGATGCTTGTCTTGACGCAGCTGGTGTGCGGCCACCCTTAGAGTCTGATGGTAACTATATACACCACATGCTTTTAACATTTTGCCCAAAGAGTGTATTTATGGTTACGTTTCATTCTCGGAAGAAACAGGGGCTATTTTCTTTAAAAGCTTTAATCAATTGATACTTCTAACAGTGCAGAGTTGTGTATCTTTGTGGTAGTAACTGAATTATTAAATATCATGCAAATGAGCTTTGGTTTCATATGGTTAATCATTATTGCTGTGTGATAACGGTGTTTGAACATTTCAGTTCATACAGCGTTAAAAGAGACAGGAGAATAAACATGAATTCTTGGTAAGTATTACTTATTTAAAGGAAGCAGACGGGGCACACAGCTTGGGGAGACTGGGTAAAACTACGAAATATCTTAATTAAGATAACGGGTAACTGACTTGAACAGTGTTCGTCATCGGATGGATGATAACTCCAGGCAAAGCGTCTAGCTACTCGGAAGTGTTCTAGCCCATGAACCCAGTATTTAAGTTGCCCACACTACCACATTTACCTTCGCCATACATTTTTAAAAAATTTCCTACACAAAATATACCTTTAAAATTTGAGTATGAAAATCCACCCAACAATGAATTTCACTAGCGTTACTCCCAGCTCATCAGAACCAGATGGGAGACGCCACATCTTATTACATAAGCCTGTCTATCAACTGTAAAAAAAAATCGGTGAATTAACATCTGTAATATTGATGTTTACATTTAACCTGGACACAGACGACGAAATCATAAAATTGTTAAAGCGAACGAAAGTCGCGGTTGAATTGTTGGCAGTCCTGCTGCGTATTTATGAAGTACATGGTTCTATACCCGACCAGGAATCACATATTCGTGAATTTTCTTAGCCTTTCAAGCAAATTTTAAGGTAGCACCTTGTAATACACTATCCAGTCACAATATTCCACATTAAGATTGCCTGTACAATTTAACCAACTTACAAGACATACAAACAGACAGGTACAACGTCGTTCACCTGTACAGTTCCTTTACAGTCACCCTGTGACGCTATGCATACTTTAAAACACTCAACGTTTTGATGGGCTTAGCAAATATCGTTTTCCGATTTCTTTTACGCCTTTCCATCAGGTCCCCATTACAAACCTAACCACGTTTTTGTAATAACTCCTTGCAGTCGGACCAACCACCATTGATTTCCATATACGGGAACACCGTAACCCGTCCGACATACGATGCACGATGCTTACAAGAAGACGTCGGTCTGTCCTGTTCTGTGTAGGGTCGGAATAGTCTTTGAAAATTGTAATGTACTTATACGTTACCCCATCCAATGCAGAAATACGAAATTTTTAGCTCTTGGGTCTGTTCATTGTAGCATGTGCACGGAGGTCATTACTGTCAGTTTCATGTACAAAAAACTACCAGTTAGGTTACAATTAAATATGGAAATCTACAATGAAAGCTGTAGGTCTAATGTAGTTTCGGTTCACGCCACTGCAATGTAACTCTTTCGTTTTCCACTACTCCCCAACTGGGGGTCCGTTAATTTGTGCCTAAGAGTTCCGCCAGTTGAGTGGATTATAGTATTTTATTCTTTATGCTGTACTGCTGTAACATTTGAGCTTCTTTCCATCACAATTAATTTGTTTCACGTTGAAGGACAACTGGATGAATCCAGTTCAAATCCTCGCACGCTATTTCTGATTTTAATATCATCCTCCATCTACGTCTATGTTTCTCAAACGGTCTCTTCCTTTCAGGGTTTCGATCTATACTGTTATTCTCAGAAATAAAACACAAGAAAACAGGACAGACATAAAATTTTCATCTTCATAAGCCGCAGAAAT